CTTATGTAATATATATAACTTTCTATAAAAATAAAATAAATTTAATTAATTCTTTAAATTTATTGAATGAATTATATAAATATTATCCTTTAATTTATGTTATAAATATGCATATGCAAAAAAATATAATAGAAATAAAAACAATAAATATTAAGTAACAAATATATTAAATAATAAATATATAATTTTAAATAACAATATAAACGATTACATTTTTAACATATGGATGCAAATAAAAATAAAATAAAAATAAAAATAAAATAAAATAAATGAAGAATTTAATATATATATAAAATAAATTATTTTTTGATATGTTATGTTGTTAATTTTCATTCAACAAAAATATAATAATAATTATTATATAAAGATTTTAATTTCTAGTTTAACAATTCTTCTACAAAACAAAATTTTATTAGAAATTTAAAAATAACATAACATAATATATAATACATAATATGATATTGCTTGAAGATATAAGATTGATACATGAATAAGTATCTTATAAATATAATATATAATCAATAGATAATCATCAATCAAAATTATAAATATTTTATGTATCTCTTATAAAACATTTGAGACATAAAACACTCGAAAAATTTAGTTTTATTTATTTATTTTTTAATACACTATATAAAGTGAATATATGATTAATTAGATAGAATAATTGCAAAAATTTTAAAAATTAATATTAATTTAAAAAATTAGTTAAATATATTATCGATTTCAAAATTATCTACTTTTTTCGAAATAATTATCTAAAAATATTTTTTTAATGAATTGATTAAATTTTATATTATTATAATGAAAAAATAGTTAATTAAATTATCAGGTATAATAATTTAAAGTGATAATTTATATCTTTTAGTATAGCCTTATATAATTTAATCACTTATTTATATATTAGATATTTCAAATAATTTTAAGTATAAAAATCATTAAATTGTAATGTTTAATATATTAATACATCATATAAATTATTATATAATTTAATACATTATATATTAATTACATTAAATATGTATATTATCTTGTATTTAATTATATAAATTTTTGCTTATTTTGAATTGTATTTAGATTATTTGTATAAATGTATGTATATTCTTAATATATACTTATATAATATTATAATATGCATAACATATATGTTATTAATAGAAGATCACATTAAATAAAAAAATTATGATAAGTTTAAGGTATATTATATTTTTACAAATTTAAAGAGATGTATTTTATTGTCATATATTTGTCTCTTTCATTTACATTAAGTAAAATAATATAATCTTATATCTTAAAATTATAAATTTCAATAATAAAATAATATAAAAGCACCAGTACCTTCAAATATAATCTTCATATATAATTTTAACATAATATAATAAAATGAATAATATATATGTATGTAAAATAAAACTATTTATAACATTAAAATTTTGCATTGATAGGTTGCAAATAATAATAATGGCATATTATTTAATAATTTTAAACTAATTACTAATATGATTACATTATATTAAAAATAAAACTTGCATTATTAATATAAAACTTATTATTAATAAATTATATTTTTTCTTGAAAATTAATTATTAATTATTGATTAAGTCTGCTCAAATTTATACAAAATTATTCAAAATTATTCAAAATCATATAATATTACAGATTTTAAATTAATTATTTCAATATTTTAATATTAATAAAGGTTAATAGCATGCAATACATTCATTTTTTTGATGATTTTACTATCGATCATTTTATCGATATTATAACAAATTAATAAACAATTGTTTAAGTTAATTATAAAATTAATATAAATTTAATAATTAAATGTCATGTATATCTTATAAAAAACGTTAAAGATGTTTATAGATATAATATAAAAGAAATTAGAACTTGTGATAGTTAATGCGTTTATATTATGTTCATACATAACAAATAAAAAATTTCATTTAAATTATATATTTAACAGTCTGCTTAAAAAATTGTAAACTACATCATGCTTATTATTAGTATTTATTTATCATTTATTATTTATTTATTATTTTTTTAAATAT